CGAACGAGCCGGTCGGGGGTCTGCGGCCCTCCGTGCGGGCCCCGCCGCCCCTGGTGTCCCCGCCACCGCAGGCTCTAGTCCGCAGAAAGCGCCCCGTGGGCTTTTACCCTCTTTGCTGTTTGAGTCTATTTGCAAATGCACGACGGGTTTGAACTCTGAAGCAGTGGGACACCGTGCAGGTTTCCTCACCGAGCTAAGGCGCGGTCGGGGATCCTGCCCTCACACGTTTCTGCCTCCCCCGCTGCACGGGGTGGTGGCGGGGGGGAGCCCAAGCTCTCCTCCAGGACCCCAGTCCCGGGGCCCCCAGCGGCCAGGGCGCCGGAGCTGGCATCACTGCCCGGCCTGCAGCGTCCACTGTCCTTTCCTCCGTGTAACCGGAGCTGCTTTTCCTCCGTGCCCAGCCCTTCCCGCCTCCTCAGAACGCTGACGCCCGCTGCCCCGAAGGCCACCTGCACAGGGCGGCGAGCGCCTCCCTCCAGGGCTAACGGGCAGGGAGTGACACACTGCCACCGACGGGAATGCCCAGGAAGGCAACCCAAGGGGCAGGGAGGGGGTTTCTCCTGTGCGTCCAGAGCACAACCTACTGTAGGGCTAACTGCCGGCACATATCAGGACCCAGAAAGATGTTTATCAAATGAAACCTGATCAGTGACTCCGCTGTTTGAAAATGCAGTACAGCAGCGGTCCCCAACCTTTCCGGCACCAGAGACCGGTGCTCCTATGAGAATCTAATGCCTGAGGCCTGAGGTGGAGCTGAGGGGTTGATGCCAGCGCTGGGGAGCGGCTGCAGATACAGACAGAGCTGAGGGGTTGATGCCAGCGCTGGGGAGCAGCTGCAGATACAGACGGAGCTTCTCTCACCTGCTGCTCACCTCCTGCTGTGTGGCCCGGTTCCTAACAGACCACAGACGGGACTGGTCCACGGCCCAGGGATTGGGGATCCCTGCAGTACAGCACCATCCACCAATCTTCTGGTCAGCCTCCAGCTCGGGACCAGCTTAGAGAAGCGAGCAGCAGAAGTCAAGGCACAGACCGGGACCTACGGGGTCAACCACGCTCTCCAGATGTCCCATGAAACGGGAGGGAGCTGGGGGTCAGCCAGCCAAAGGCAACCTGGGACTGGGTCAAACAGGGGTGCATGTGGGTACGTGTACGCACATGTGAATGTGCCCCCGTGTGTGCGTGTGCGTGTATACACCCCCTTTTAAAGATGTTAAAACAACTGGGAAAATCTGGACATCATATGTTTGATTAAAGAATTAATATTTTAGGTGTAAATAGTTTGTGGTAATGCTTTTTGAGAATTTTAGAAACACGATGTAGTCAGTGCTTAAATAAAATACCTGGGATTTATACTAAAATAACGGAGGGGCACAACGCGAGACGCGCTAAGTTTCTGAAGTTGGATGGCTGAGACACGACGCGTTTCTCCCTTTTCATTTATTTGAAATTTTCTGTAATAAAGAGTTTTGTTTTGAATGAATATTCTAGACAGTATTCCCCAGGATGTAACTGGTCATAGGAATCTGGGTGATTTACTGTCTGCCTATTTGTCTTACATTGTCAGTAATGAGCACAATAATGAGTAACTTTCACAGGAGGAAAGGAAGGCTGTTTAGAAAACACCACGATCTTCCCTCCCGAGCGTGTGGCTGGCAGGACACTGCAGCGCCGGGCAGTGACAGTGCCCCGGCAGCTGCCCCCAGCCGGCCCCGGAGAACAGCTCGCGTTAAGGTAAGAAATCCTCACAGCACAAAATTACAAGACATGAAAATCTTTATTTCCAAAAAGAATGTATTTTTACATAAATCTACAACAGAGAATTCCAATGTAGAAAAAATACACTATGTTCAAGGACACAGCAGTCTGCAGACTCCTCCTCCTGGGACAAAGTGACACCGGGACGAGCAAAGCTGCTGGAGGAGCCGCCACGCAGGGCCACCGGGACGCCCGCACACAACCGTGGCGCTTTCTATCAGACGCTGCCAAGGCGGGTCCCAGTGAGAACTGCGCCATCACCCCGCAGCAGTGCATGCTGGGAGCGGAGAGCCCACATGCACACCGACTGCTGGAGAGAGGACAGGAATGGCAGGGAGCTGAGGTCCAGACGCCTTAGGACAGTCAGGCTCACCCCGTGACCGCAGCCACCAGAGGGGTCCCAGGAGGCCTAAGGGCAGCCCCGCCTTCCCCCACCGGCCTCCAGCCGAAGGCCCCGCAGGCTTCACCCATCATTGGCAGCGTCCAGAACGCCCCGGACCTTAGCAAAGGCGGAGAAGGCAGGGAGCCTGACCAGACGTCGGCCACCTGCACACCCAGCCCAGGCCGAAGCCGCCCCCCAAGCCCCCCACGCCTCCCCCGCCTCCTCGGCGCTGGCAGATCGGGTGGGATTTGCTGCGTGCAGGCGTCCCCGGGGACTGGGAGCGGCTACGAAACTCTGCTCTGCAGTCCTGGCACCAGGCGGGTGGACGACACCCAACGCCCAGCGAGGAGCCAGGTCCCAGGCCCGCCCAGGGTGACGCCAGGAAGCCTCAGGCCGCGATAGGCGGTGGACACCAGCCTGTGACCCTCACACCAGAGCCTGAACCTGGACCTGAGGCCCTGGGCTTCACACGAGCCAGCCTTCCCCATGACAGTAACGTCCAGCAGGACGCTCGGGGCCACAGGTTCCTCTTCAACTAAGAAGGTCCCTGAGGCCACCCTACCTTCACATTTACCAGTTGTCACCTACAAGACGTCGAGCCCTCTGCAGCTCTGGGCTTCGCGAGGACAAAGGAAGAACGTGCGTCGCGGGGCGGTCGTCCCTGACCACAGCCCTTCCGACCTCCTGCCAGCCATGAGACTTTCACACAAGAGCCGCGTGAGAACCCAGCTGCCACAACCGTGCACAAAACCCTGCCTCTTCTCACGGCCCACGGCGCCGCTTGTGGCAAACTGGTGACACGATGGACGACCGAGGGCGCCTGCCACACCCGGCACATGTCGGCACAGGGACCACGAACCCCGAAACACAAAAGCTTTACACGGAAGCAACCTCACAGTGGTCTGTTTTCCAGAAAGACTTTAAAATACACTGGGTACTACTGCAGGCAGGATCGATGACGTGACGACCGGGTCGCTAGAGCATCTACTGGTCAAACGAGAGGGGACCCACCCGGCGGAGGCCAGACTGGGAGGCCGCAGAGGGGACGGCACAGCGCTTGCACTGGGTAATAAAACATCGAAAACAGTATAGAACATTTACTGGAAAAAAACACAACTCATGAAAATTGAACTTCACCCTTTTGTAATAAAAAATTAAAACTTTCGTTGACTGTTTGGACATAATACAGACTACGAACTCTTCCCCAGACGGTGTGAGAGGGACTGGCGAGAAATGTCACCTTCGGAACTCGGTGGTGGTAGCACGCCCCCCTCGAGGCGGCTCCAGTCCAGGCCCCTCGCAGACGCCCAGGCCAGGGGGAAACCCCCAGACACGGCGCTCCTGGCCAGTCGGGTCACCTTCCTGAGAGCCCGCCGTGGCGCCGAGGGCCTAGCAGTCACTCTTCCAGAGCTTAATCGTTTTGTCGTTTTCCAGTGCGGCCGAGGCGATGATGTTCTCTGTCGGGTGGCACGCCGTCGAGATCACGACATCTGAAAACAGACACGGCAACGGTGGCCGCCTTGGTACAGGGACCTGCCCCCACCCCGGCATCCCACTGGCCCTGAGGGAGGACGCTGCCTCGCCCAGCTGACCACCCACTCCCACAGCCCTTCCCTGCGACGCGCTTTCAGGAGCTGCCGACGGCGAAGAGCACTTTGCTGCCCATCTGTCCGGCAGAGCCCAGTGGACAGCAAGCAGGAAGACAGGACGGCGAGCCCCGGCCTGGCTGGCAGCCTACGTGATGCAGTGGCCCAGGTGTCTGTCCGTCTGCAAAGGGGCGGCAGCGGCCCGCGCAGCCGGGAGCACCCGGCGCTGCGCCGTGCAGGGGTGCACGCCTGGGGGCTGTCACGGGTGG